ATTTTTCGCGGCAAATTTTCATATTGGCTACTGCCAGAAGAGACAGGGTTAAACCAAGCACGCCTATCTAACCCCAGTTTACCTCCGGGTGGAAGTGTTTATGCTACGCTTCACTAATATCAATAGGTCGATGTGAGAATCTCAATCAACCCATTTATCGGCAGAGGGGAATAGCCAAATTACTATATGCATAAAGCGAGAAATCTTGATAAAACGTTCTCGCTGACATTGCAGCTATAAGCCAAAAAGTACATCAACCTAAGAAACTAAAATTGTTTATAAAAAGCTGAAATCAAATCCTTAGTACTAATTATTTACGTAACACTACGAAACAAAGTAAAAATGTGCATCACTGTATTAACTACATGATGGAAAGTTTTTTAAAAGCCATTAAGAAGTAGATGACGAAATTTATCTTACCAATCACTTCTTCATTAAATGAAAATGTTCCTTAGATTTACAATAGCTACAATTGATAGATTTACCAAAACTTTGATTAAAGTTGAAAACTTGTTTGTAGGATGGTCAGTTAGCTATTTACAAAGCGTAATCCAAGAGTAAAATCAGACCTCAGTTACTCTATCAGTCAGATGGATAGCGCTTTCTAGCGGAGAAACCACTATACAGTTATTACGTGTCATAGCAACTACATGCAGTTAAACCTCCCGTTAGCGATCGCCCTAAAAGGGAAGACTTAGTGGTCGCTTCAGGGATCCAGCAAAAGCAGGCCCTCACTAGAAAGGGTATGAACACATCTACATTTTGAAAGAGATTTCGTAGTATGCAATTTCATGCAGTTACGATATGACTGTGTAGTTTCATGTTTTCACTCGCATTCATTAGAGATCATTAAACCATACCTTAAGTGGTCGCTTACAGGAGAATAAAAATAGCGATTTATCTCCAAAGAGTGCTACCCAACATTTGAATAACAAGTACCAGGTTTAATAATTAGAATTATAATTACAGTCCGACTACCATAACCGGGACCACAAAATATCAGCTTTTGTCAAACAAATATGTTTACTGGGTGTTATATGTAACGTTTCAAATAGAAATACATAGTCTGGTGAAATTTCTACTTTCTTGAAAGACGTTTGCTATCAATAATTAAATTTTGTGCTCCGAGTAATTAACTTGCTGTTTTTTTTTTTTTTTTTTTTTTTTTTTTTTTTTGTT